GTCCCTTGAGCGGCCGCGGGGCCGCCTCTTCCGGCCACGACCCCGCACGAGCCCGCCCCTCCCGTGGCTGACGGAAACCGCAGCGTTTCAGGTGGGGGCCCATCGGCGCGAGAGGGGTTCTTGACAGTCTCCGGTCTTGCTTTCTTGTGAAAGAAAAAAGAAGCGCCTCCTTTTGTGGTGGAAGGAGAAAGAGGATGCATACACGCAAGGCTTCCTTTGTTCAGTCAGCCCCACTTCCAGAGGCCTGAGGCCAGGGTGAGGGACCGAAAGGTTACTCCAATGCCCTTCCAAACTCCGAGTGGCTTGATAGCAAGGATTCAGTCCAGAAAAGCTTGTGTCTCCGCCATTAAGACCAGGTGACCTGAGGAAGGGCTCTTAAGCACAGTACCCGGTCCGATCCTTTGGCCTTACTACCCAAGAATTAATTTGGTTAAAATATCCACGTATTATTGTTGGGTTCTATTCCTAAAAGGCCCCATGTTCTCCATCTACCCTTGACAGCACCCTCCCCAGTCCTACATGGACGCAATGTTATACGATGTACTTCAGTGATCACTGGCAAGAACTGACAATTTGAACACCATGTAGCAAGCAAATTTACAAACTTTAAACAACATGTACAATATACCCTATAAGATTTTGTTTTTTTCCTCGTGCAGGCGACTCAACAGAGGGCCTCACACTTGTAGGGAGCATCGACCCTACCACAAGGCCTGGTGGCATAAGCCAGCACTATGGGAGGCAGAGGCAGGTGAATCAGTTCAAGGCCGTCTTTTACTACACAGGCCAGCTGGAACATGAGACCTTTTAACAAAAAGCAAAACGACTGTACTAGCACATAGCGGTGTGATGGTGTGACCTGCAGCCCAGTCCTAGGACAGGAATGTGCCCAACTATCTTTACTTCATTCTCCATTATCGGGTTGTCAATTTTGTTCAGAGTAGGGTTCACTTTATTCTCTAGCTATTCAGTGTTTAAAACTGCCTGATGTTGCCGCACCCGAGTGGTGGTGGTGGTGGTGCCTTTAATCCTTGCACCAGGAGGCAGAGGTGAATAGATCTCTGAGTTCAAGGCCAGCCTGATCTACAGAGTAAGTTCCAGGACTGCCAGGGCTACACACAGAGAAACTGTCTTCCAAAAACAAACAAACAAAAACCTGTCCATCTACCTTCTTCATATAGTCATTCTTTATGGTTGCAGGAGTTGGACCTATAGTCCAGAGGTAGGCACCTGCCTACCACACAGTCACACAAGCCATGCATTTGCACTCCTGTAGTACCAGCACCAGGAGGCTGAGGCATGATAATAAATCACATTCTGGGCCAGTGAGACCCTGATTTAATTTTTTTTTTAATTCACTTAGGGCTGGAGAGAGAGCTCAGAAAAGCACTGATTCAATTCCCAAGCATCCACATGGCAGCTCACAACTGTAACTCTAGTGATCTAAATCTAACATCTTCACACAAACACACATGCAAGTGAAAACACCAATGCACTTTTCTAAAAAAAATAAAATTTCACTTGACAAGCACCCATTTGGCTACTATTCTTTATATGGTCACAAGGACAAAACTATTGCTTTTGGGAATTTCATGTAGCCAGGGGTATAACTCAGTTAGCAGTGAATGTCTAGTAAAGAAAAATAGCTTAGCTAAGAGTATCTTCCCAGAGTTGTTTGGGTATGTTGCTCAGCTACATACAACCAATTTTAAAGACAACTCAGAAGGTTGACCAACACATAAGCACAAAACCCTAACTATGCATTTGTGCTGCTATTCAACCTTTTGTTTGTTGTGTGCCAAGTGTATTATACGCAAGTGCCTGACATGTGTGTACAAGGCCAGAGGAAATTGGTATATCCTCAGGAACACTGCCCACCTTTCTAAGTACATTTATGGCAGGTGTGGTGGCACATACTCCTCCCAGAATTTGAGACAGACGCAGAAAGACCTCTGAGTTTGAGACCCATCTACTCTACATGGCAAGCAGATTTACATTTATTGGTGGGGGACATGCATACCACATGTGGTCAGGGGGACAACTTGTGAGGGTCAGTTCTCTCCATGTATATCCCAGGAATCAGACTCAGGTTCTGAGACCTGGTGGCAAGCACCTTCTTCCCAGTGCCATCACCTTACTGACCCCACGTCCTATGAGACAGGGTCTCTCATTGGCCTGGAGCACGAGTCCAGTTGGCCGGCAAGCCAGTAAGAGAAATTCAGGGATAGGTCTCTAATGCCCAGCAATTTTTTTTTTCCTTTTGTTAAATCCAATCTACTTCTTATTCTTTGAAAGTTTCATACAGTATGTAACAAATTTAGCCCTTTTCTCTTTATCCATTTACCCAGTTTCATCCCTTATACAGTCTCTCCTCATTTTAGTGTTCTGAGGATAAAACTCAGGTTTTTTGTTTTGTTTCTGGGTTTTGAGACAGAGTTTCTCTGTGTATCCCGTGGCTGTCCTGAAACTCACTCTTTAGACTAGGCTGGCCTCAAACTCAAGAGATCTGCCTCTGTCTGCCTCCTCAGTGCTGGGATTAAAAGCATGTGCCACCACCTCCCTGCTGGAACTTAGGTTCTTAGAAGCATCTTACTGTCATCTCCCCATCACCAACTTGACCTATCATGGCAGCAAAATGCTACTCCTAGGAATCTTTCCCTTTCAGTACTTAGCTTGTGACAGCAGTGAACTGTAAAGCCATACTGAGTTCATGGGGGGTGGGGGGGACGGACAAATAAGGCTGAGTACAAAAACCAATCTGGTCAGCTCTCATGCATATGCATCCTTCCCTGGTCACAATCTTAGAGGATGAATAAGTTACCAACATTTTGTTTTCATTCTTTTAGGACAATACGAGCCTCTGAATTTAAGGTGTTTCTGTTACCTCTTTGGGATCTTCTAGTGTGGCAATTCAAGTTTCATGAGAAAGGAAGATGCTAGCCAGTATTTAAGCCATTTATTCTTTAAGAACAAGACTAGAAACTGCTTTACTCAGTTGTCAATTTTCACCAGAGGAAGAATTCTGTCTTGAACAGTCTGCATCTCTATCTTCATTTGCTCTTCATGATCTCTCCATCAATACCGGCCAAGTACAAAGTTCACAAGTGGCAAATACTAAAGCACCACCACACTGAGTAGAAACATGTACACCACATTCTACTATGCGTATTAATAAATACTCTTTATTTTAAATTTTGCACATTGCCTTTAACATTGCGTCCAGACACTTTGCAAGTGGATGTCTACTGTAAACCATATATCCAGCTCACTGTCATTTCTGTACAGAGGTGTAAGTACAACATTACTTTTGCCACTAAGTTGCTTTAGTAAGTCTCACAGGAAGAGAAACGTTTAATGAAGAGATGGCTTAAATCATAAGCAGGCCTGCGCAGCCACGCAACTAAAGACACAAGCCTGAAGAAAGAACAAATGAATGAGATTACCTCCACCGTCTCCCAAAACAAGGAATCACATTGATTTAAGATAAAATTTTGCCAGAAGTCACTAAATTAAGAGTTTTTTTTTTTAAAAGAGAAGGCGCAGTAGTCATCTTGAGTGTTTCATTGAAAGACAGAGCTATTTTATTTATTTAATTTGCTCCAGCCGTTGTCAACCAGCCACTACAAATGGGCCTCTTGTGGTCATTTAAGCGGCAGTATTTATTAAATTTCTCCTTCAGATGCTGTCGGTATTGTTCTCTATTGCTGTAGAAAGACTGGTTATTAGCCATAAATGACTGTATTTCATCTTGTGAGATAAAGATTTCCTCATCTGAAGTACATTCAGACTCATCCTGCAAATTAAAGCAGCAGTTAAGACCATGACAAAAAATGCAAAATGCTGTACTTGGTGGGGCAACTACAAATTAAAGTGGGCTACCTTTAGTCTCAACCCAGTCACGTGATATCTAATTGGAATGCTTACAGAACAAGCATCATGGCATCCCATCTTTGAAATTCAGCTTGGTTTGAAACACTGTATCTACAATTACCCCTTATATACCTATGAGTTTACTTGACTATCACCATACTTTCTGCCTTTAAAAACAACTACATAGAAAGAGCTGGATGCAACTAATTTAACCAATATTTAAATAACCAGACTTATCTCTACCTGGTCCTATGTCAAAACTTTTATCTCTATACATTAAGTAAAAGATTTATTTATTTATTTATTTTTGGTTTTGTAGACCGGGCTGGCCTCAAACTCACAGAAATCCACCTGCCTCCCAAGTGCTGGGATTAAAGGAATGTGCCACCACTGCCAGGCCTAAGTAAAAGATTTTTATCTCTACAAATTAAGATAACTTTTTTTTTACTTAAAAAGTATGTTATATAGAATCACCACTAAACTTTACAACATATACAAAAAATAAAACAAGCAACAATAGAATCCTTAATATTCCAAATGACAGTTCCACCAGGACTTAATAACAGAAGGGACAGCAAATGTCTTTCTTTTCATGCATCAGCACACATTACACACTGGGACACTGACATCCGGTATAGTTCAACTGAAATTTCAGGAGGTGGTATCAATTTTACAACTCTCCCAAGACCAATCATACTTTCCTATATCCCACCTGAAGGAATTAACTTGGAATAAAAGCTTTAGTTCAGGCTCTTTTTTATTATTTTAAAGGTTTTTTTTTTGGCGGGGGGTGGGTGGGTTTGGAGGACTTAAAACGGTCTTATCCCAGGATGTCTTCTCTCTGTGGCTGAGCATGAGTCAAACTCCTGACTTTTCTGCCTCTTCCGTTGGGGTGCTAAGATTATACTAATTCAATATTCTTTTCGGGTATAGGAGGATGAGTACTATACTGCACTTGGGTAAAATCTGCTTACAGTCACTCAGAGAGGTTGACTCCTAGACACGATGCCACTTGTTACTCTCCCAACTGGTCTAACTTTAAGACAAACAACAAGACAATGTGCTCCAGAACAGTCACAGAAGACATGAGTGGGAGAACAGAAATGAAGTCACCAAAGGACGATGGAATGAATACCTTTCATTTCTTAACCTCTCTCTGCTCCCTACCTAAAAGCTTCTAATATCTCCCCCAATTCACATTAAGGTATCATGAACTACTTACAAGAAGTTCAACTAAGCTCTTGGCACCTTTTCCAGAGTCAGGAACAAATGACATTTCTGTAGGTTCTGTGAACTGTGGTACGTTTTTCCTATGGTCAAACCAAGGCAATGGCTGCCCACCCTTCTCAGCGCTGCAACAATTCTCAGGATGTGCATCTTTGGTCTTGTCACGGTGAAACACTGTGTGCATGGTGTTTCCTGAGGTCTCTCGATTACCTGGATCTGTAATACAGCTTCCAAGTTTTTGGATCTGAAACCAGGGCAAGAAATTTCCCAAGGAAAAAAGGGGGCAAAAACAGTAGCAGTTATTATTCAAAAAAAACCAAAAATTTCCAGGTGGCTAGTGAGTTTCAGGTTAGCCTATGCTTCCAGACAAGACAGTCAAGAGCAAAACAAAAGATCTGCAGTCAAGTTTCAAGTCTTGAGAAGTAATACTAAATAACAGCTGCAGCTGATTTACAAGACACTTACCCCATTCCAGATGATATGCTAACCTGTTGTATGAATGATCTTACTTCATCTTCATAGAACCTAAAACACAGTCTATTATCCTCACTTTTGCAAACAGAAAAACTAAATTTATTAGTTTTTCAAGATTATATAGCTAATTAAAATGATAGATTCTAGAGAGATGGCTCAGGAGTTTAGAGCACCTAACAGAGGATCCAGGTTCGATTCCCAGCACCCACATGGTGACACACAGTCATCCAAACTCCAATTCCCTCAAGGAACCCTGTATCCTCTTCCATCCTCTGCAGGCACGAGGTACTCAGACATACATGAAGGTAAAACATTTAAACATGTAAAATAAATATATCTAAAGGAATTTTCTAATAAATTATGAAGTAAAGTAAAAAGTATTAACCAGATCTGTGACTTGTGACTCACTTGAACTTCTGGACAAATAAATACTTCCTCCCCCATATTCACACCCACAAGATGAACAAGCAATGGAACTATATAAAACATTTAAAAAAAAAAAAAAAAAAAAAAGACAGGGTTTCTCTGGCTGTCCTGGAACTCACTCTGTGGACCAGGCTGATCTCAAACTCAAGAGATCCACCTGTCTCTGCCTCCTGAGTGCTGGGATTAAAGGCCTGCACCACCACCAATTCAAGGAAAATAGCTTGTTTTTCGACTATAAAAATTACTAATTACAAATTAACACACTTACATGTTCATCGCATTTCAACATCTTGCTTTTCTTTTTCTTCTTTTTATTTTTTCCTTTTGTATTATTTTCTTCAGAATTTGCCCAACATTCAACACAACTATCACCATCATCTTCTTTGTCTTCACAGTGATGAACACAGGAATCTTCACCTGCAAAAATTAATAACCCTTCCTATTTATGATGTTATATCAGCCATGTGGTAGATACTAATTAGGAATCTTAAACCCGAGCATACCATGTTCATCATGGTTACAAATTCCCTCAGTGCAGGCAACATCTGAACCTTCTCGAGAACCTGTTTCACTTCCTTCCATGCTAGATGAATATCCACAATCACTACCATTACAGTGTGGAGATACGCCTGAAAATAGAGCAAGTAAAAATAAAAATTCAGAGTCCAGAGAGAAATATCAAATCTTATTGCCTACAGCAAGTAAGTAATGAAAATATGACTAATATTTACATGTTTTGTTTCTTATAAGAAAAGAAATATTAGGGGGCTGGAGAGATGGCTCAGAGGTTAAGAGCACTGACTGCTCTTCCAGAGGTCCTGAGTTCAATTCCCAGTAACCACATGGTGGCTCACAGCCATCTATAATGAGATCTGGTGCCCTCTTCTGGCATGCAAGCATACATGGAAGGAATGTTGTATATGTAATAAATAAATAAATCTTTAAAAAAAAAAAAGAAATATTAACTATCAAACAAAACTGTATGGTACTTTTGAGGTGATAACGCAACTTTATAATTCTAAAGGTGGTGGCAGTGTACACCTTTAATCCCAGCACTTGGGAGGCAGAGACAGGCATATCTCTGAATTTGAGGTCAGCCTGGTCTACACAGCGAGTTCCAGGACAGTCAGGACCACTAAGAAATCCTGTCTCAAAAAACAAAATCAAATTCTAATTCCAAAAAAAAAAAAAAAAAAACTTCTTAAGAGTACTTATACTTAAAAGAAAAATAGAGACTTGGGGTTTCATTTGTTTGTTTTATTGGCGGCAGGGCTGGGGGCGAGGGAGGTGGATATACTGGAAAGATGGCCCAATGGTTAGCAGCAATGGCTGCCCATCCAAAGTACCTGGATTCTATTCTCAGCATTCACGCGGCAGTTCACAACTATCTGTAACTCCAGTTCCAGGGAATCTGACACCCTCACACAGACACATATATAGGCAAAACACCAACACACATAAAAATAAAAATAAAAAAATCATTAAAAAAATAGTTTTGACCTCCTGGTTCTGGGATTAAAAGCGTGTACCACTATGCCCAAGAAAAGTGGTTTTTTCCTTTTGAATTATCTTTTTAAACTTCTGTTCTTTATGTACATTACACCCTGAACAGTTTCCCCTACCTCCTCTCCTCCCAGTCCCCCGTCCCAGATCTACTCCTCTGTTTCTCTTCAAAAAAAAGTAAATAATGATGATGATGATGATGTTGTGGGACTCTCAGGGATATCAAGAGAACACAGCATAAAAAATTACAATAAAACTAAATACACACCTTCCTATCAAGGCTGGACGAGGCAATCAGTAGTCTAGTCTACATTAGTGTTCAAGCAAAGGCAAAAAAGAATCAGAGGCACCCTCCACTCCCACTGTTAGGAGTCCCACAAGAGCACCAAGCTACACAACCATAACGTATATGCAGAGGACCTAGCTCAGACCCATACAGGTCTGAGTTATTTTTAAAAATATTTATTTACTCACCTTTCTTTATTTTAGGGGACCCCAAAAGATTGCCACTGCTAGGACAGGTACACGCTGTATTTTCGTTGGTAACAATCACTTCTACACAACTATTACCATCTTCAGTGCTGCCACAGGCTTTGCAGCTATTTTCAATGAAGTCTGTTTCCTTTGAGGATGGACATTAAGAGACAATAAAAAGATTTACTTCCATAAGGGCTAAATTTTAATTTCTAATTAATTAAGAAGCAGTTCTAAGATTAAAAAATGAAGAGTATCCATATGGAAAAAAAAAATCACTGCAACTAGCCAGAGGCTCATTTCTGTAATCCCAGCATTTGAGACAGGAGGACTGTCCCAAGTTTTTGAGAAATGGTTTCTCTATGTAACCCTAGCTGGACTAGAACTCACTATATTAATGAGGCTGGCCTGGAACTCACAGAGTTCCATCTGTCTCTGCCTCCTAAGCGCTGGGATTAAAGGTATACACTA